CTACGTGGAGCTAATCCACCAAAGCCTGCACGTGTACCATGTAAGGATTATTGGAACTAGGAATGCTCTGACCAACGCTGACTTTTTGTTGAAGCCCGTAATAGTGATGATCCAGATCTTATCAGCAACGCACACTGGAGCTTCCATAAAACTATCAAGCTAGTCAAGCGAGAGTATAAGCACTCTAAGCTAGATAGTGTATCTTCGCTTTGGGAGGCCCATAAAGTGGTTAGATGACGAAAGTTTTCCAGTCGCTTCAGCCCCCTCCAATTTTGTCCCAAGAAGTCACGTACAGCAACCCGACTGAGCGGGCTGATGTCTTCTTTCGCACGAGGCTTACCCGTGTAACTATGGAGCTGAATATTTCTAGATACATCCTTACTTGATCACGGCGAGTTATTCCTGCAACTCCTTCCATAGACTAAGATGAGGTGCGACAATATCTTCTTGGTACATCTTCCACAACTCCAAGTCATAACCATATCCCGGTTGTTGCTCTTCGTCATGTTTGGGAAGTCAACTCATGGCGTAGGTGGATCGTAAACTAGTAAAGTCTCTGCCTGATATATGAATATCATCCGAAGTTTCTTTGCCACGCTGAAGTTGTGGTTATACCTAAACCTCACAAGGATGATCTTACTAACCCCGCAAACTGGCGACCGATTTCGCTCCTTCCTGTTCTTGCTTAAGGGCTGGAACGCCCCTTTGCGCGACGTTTCGCCTTCTGGGCTTTGTCAAGTCGCATTATCTCTTCAACGCAATTCGGGGCTCTACCAGGAAGATCAGCCATGGACCTCGTTGAGTGCATTGTCCATGATATCGAGAAGGCATGGGATGCGAAGCAGGATTGCACTCTAGCTACTCTTGACGTCGAAAGCGCTTTTGATGGTGTCCAGCCTGGCCGTCTATCTGCCCGTTTGCGCGAACAAGGACGGTCATTACCATACGTTAACTGGGCTGCATCTTTTGCTTCATGTAGGAAAGCCCGCCTCCGTGTGGACAATTATGTTAGAGAATTCTTGGACATTCCGTACGGTTTGCCTCAGGGATTCCCTGCTTCACCTACAACTTTCTTCCTTTTCCTTGAGCCTATATTTAAACTCGGCTTCCCTATTTTTGGATACTTCGATGATATGACTATCCTTTCGGTCGCTAAAACTCTGATAGAATCCTCACGCCTCACTGTCGCCAGGATTGACGCAGCTACCCAGTGGTGTAACAGGATTTGACTCTCGCTAGCTGAAAATAAGATGGAGATTCTACATCTTCATAGATCCCGCCAGCTCTCTCCTTCTTCGAACATCATTAATGTCGTAAAAGACATAAGCCCAAGAATAAAGTGGCTAGGTGTCCTCCTCGACACCAAGATTTCTTTCAAAGAACATCTCCATATTTGAAGTGCTAAGACACAACGAATCAGCACCAAAATACCTCAGCTTGGCAACACTAACTGTGGTATGCCCACTTCCTTTCTTCGCATTGCATTCCTGGTTACGGCACTAACCGCACTCCTATACGGTACGAAGATTTGGTGGCATTGTCACACTTACAGCCGCCGAGGTCGCCAAGTCTCTACTCGATCGCAACATCTCATGAATATGGTTTCTAGAGCTCTAGCCGCCCTAGACCGAGCAATTCTTCCGGTATATAGAACTACTCCCTCTGCAGCGTTCCTGACGGAGGTGTGGCTCAAGCCCTCTCATATAATCCTTGACGAGTTGCGCCTCAGCTCTGCTGTTAGATTAGCTGCCGCAGAAATTTTTCATATCTCGAGTAGAAGATTAATTGACCCCCGCACACAAACACGACTTACCGAGAAATTAAAGCTCGCTCTGCCTTCCCTCGCCCTCAACTCTTACCGCCATCCTATGAATCCCCTCTTACCCGCTCTCGAGCAGAATTTTCCGAGCGTGTTAGAGCACTATCACACTGGGAGATCCTTGTCTTCTCAAATGGCTCAAAGCAAAAAGACGAGTCTACTTGGGAAGGCGCTGTCGTTCTGCACAAGGACGTCACTGTAACTAAAGTGAGAGTGATCTTGGACCAGATTTCGAGGTCTATGACTCCGAGGTCATCGGAGCCATCGCAGGGCTTAAAGCCGCTGTAGCAGCTCCTACAACTTACCTTGCAACCAACATCAATGTCATCTTAGACTATCAAGAGGCTGCACGGGGCCTATTAGATGTCTCACCCTCAAAGTCTTCGTAAACCGAAATTTTGGAATTCCGAAACCTTGTATCTCACTGGCCATCAAGGAGGATTCTTCCTATTACAGCTCCTGCAAATTTCCACGTAATGTGATCTCCTGGTCACATGGGTATCACAGGTAACGAGCGAGCTAATCAGTTGGCTGGAGAGGATGCCGGACAACCGGTTCCCTCTGCTCCAACTCTTGCCGCAGTTCGCGCTAAGACAAATAGACGTATATGGGACCTGACCACCGAATGGTGGAAGTCTGATGCTTCCTCTACCTACTGTGAGTTTGGAATGCAATTTCCCAAGAAGCCCCTTGAGGAGCTTCGCCTCCCTCGTCGCTCTCTTGGGTATCTAATTCAATGCCGAACTGGACACGGTGACTTTCGTGCTTATTATGAAAGGTTTTAATATGAAGATGTCCTCATTACTTGTTCCTGTGGGGCAGATAGGTCAATCATCCGCTTAGTTTTTTTCCTCTTCGTTCGAGAGAGGTTGGCCTCTGCGGTTCTCCGACGAAGTCTAGGGTCTCTCAATTTTCTTCTCGGCACCTCCCGTGGTGCTAAGTGATTTACTTCTACACTGGAGAAGGCTAAGTTTATTTTGTAGCAGTCACCACGTCCTCCCTAGGACGGGGCAATAGCGTTAGCATTCGCCCGATAGACTAAAAATAAATAAATCAGTTATCAGTAATCTTAGTAATAATGAGCATTCCGGAATTAACTACCAGATTCATATCTCTTGGATTCAGGGCTCATGCCTTGCATGTTAAGACCATCAAATTAAATTGAATTGCTTGAATCTTGTTGGGGAGTACAGTGACGAAATAAACATCGATCATGTTTCCAGGTCTTTCTATTTGAAAATTGTTATCTAATTATCTAGATCATGATCTTTTCATCTTTTTCGAGGTATAGGAATAATTTTGAACAAAGATGCGTATTTTTGTGAACTAGTGTTAATCAAATAGACTCACTCAGGATTTTTAGACGTTCTTGTACCTCTTCCTATCTTAAGTCCCTATCCCATCTCCATGTATGCATTTCAGAACCCCTCTGCTCTGTTTTTATCCCATATCCTCATCCTAGACTGATTAATTTGTAAGTGCTTTGGCAATAAAATCTAGTAGTCATTAGGAAGCGTCTAAGGGTTATCGGGTGTATGGATCACATTAAGGTAAATTGGGTCCAATAATATAGAGTACTGGAAATTAGCTATTTGAGCGCACGGTCCACCTAGAGAAGAGATAACTTCTGGGAACCGTTGCACAATGAAGAATCAAGTTGTTTCTACTGAGTTGTTGATACCCGTAAATTCTCTTCGCCTCCTACAGATCAGGTTCCCCAGTTTCCTTGTAAGATTCTTATGTCAGAAACTTTTGACGTGAACTATCTTTTATAGGTTTTCCCAAAGCTGGCTGGGCCTTTGATTGATTCCTCTCCTGGACTTTGGTGACCTTCATGTGTACGCCCATATCGATATTTATACCCGCCGATGGCAAATATTTGTAGCGCAAAAGTGTAGGGGTCAGGTTTTTGGGTTAGACATGAGAGAGATCCAGACAACTTGTCAAAATCATTCAGAGGATGGAAATAACCTCAATGGTAAAAGGTATAACCTCTGTATTAGACTGGGTTATACCAACATAGTGTGGCTCTGTGATTTTTTTGCTGAAATTATTTTTCGCTCTAAAATGCGGCTATTCGTCGTGAACATTTATACAGAAGCAGAATGAGACAATAAATATGATTATATATGATTAATTTCTATTTTTTAACTCTCTTAGCCGATTTTTGAAGAATCTTTCTACATGTTTCAATTTTACATTACTTACCTTCTACTTTCTATAAATAAACCTATTAGTATGCTGTAACTTATCAAGATTTGAAAAATCCATAAAGCTTTACACGCTTTGCTCATTTTTAAAATACTATAGAGCAATTCTATCAATTTTTATCTAGAGTTACTGATTCCGAGGTCAGGAGTCATTATACTGCTAGTGGGTCAAATGAAGTTTTATATTTCACATACATCCTGTATTATAATATTAGACCGCAGTTTTATTTTGTTCTTTCTTTCAATTCTTACAATATCATATTCAGTCTTTTCGCTAGTTTCATACTTGTTGGGTTATTACGAAATGGTTGTACCTTCACATTACTCCAGCCCTTCAACTTACTGGATATTAGCGAGATATGAGTAATTGCTGAATGCGCATGTTGATCGACATGAATTTTATTTGGCTGCTTTCATGAATTGTAGGAGGATTTAGCTACCCAGAGGTGTAACTGACGCGAGTGCTTAGAATCCATTGTTTCATTATATGAGTCATGAACCTAAAGTCCAAGACAACTTGGGTTTTCTTATTTTCTTGGTTCGTAATACAAGCTCTCGGTGTGATCTGGGATATTTGAATAGATTGGAAAGCCTCCGTGATAGACAACATTGAACTCACTACCACATTTAGCAGTTTGCTAAAATTGGAGTTCTTATCTTGTGATGAAAGTATGTACTCGCAAAACTTAAAATTTGAGCTGAGTCATAGGATCTGTGTCAATAAAGTTGTCAAACAGACCTTCTAATATGAAGGCTTTAGAAGTGTAATCGTGTAGGTGTACGGGCCTTGTGAAATTTAAACGGAACCAAGAGCTATTATTTCACAGTATATAGAAGCATATAGAAGAGCTACGTTTAACGAGGATTTTGAGTGGTAAGAATGGATCATCAACGTAGGACCTGCAAAACCTGTATCCTCAAATGCTGTGAGGTGACTTTAACCACTCCGGCTAAATATTGCTGTCTACAAGTCAGTCAGCACGTTTTTTGGCGTCACTCCCATCTCCAGCAATCAATGACTGTGCACTAGGCCTTCTAAGACTTTCTGCTGTATTAGAGAATTCAATATCTTCTTGTTTGTCTATCGTTCGTTCCAAAAGAGGTACCCCTGGTGTTCTTAATGTTAAATCAATTTCCTGAGTACCAGCACTACTACCGAGCTCTATATCATCGTCTTCTGGTACTGTTTGGTATTGTTTCGCCAATCTTTTTCTTTCTAGCATGCGTGTATGGTACCAACTATTCATCCCAAGAGCTAAAAGAGAGCCCAAGATATTTGCTAAAACTTCATTGAGGTTGAATGGGTGAGAATTTGGCAGGAAGCCCTCAAGAAACTCAGAGCCGATACCTAGCACACCGGTACAGACTAAAAGAGTGAAATTGAAGCTTCTGCGCCGAGAGGTATCGAGAATCCAGTAAAAGCTAGTGGTAAGGATGAAGAAGATGATGCTGTGCAAAATTTTCTCGTTAACTCTAGTCCCGGACTGATATGAAGAAAGACTATTGTAGCCAACAAAGATTACGAGTAGGATAAAACTCCCTAGCATTTGTCAGATGAAATAATGATGGGATTCTAGAAGACAAACCTGCAAATGGTAGCCGGACCCTCATTTCGAGATCAACGAAGCACGTGTTGAATAGATGATCGAAGGATCGGTCCATTTCTCTTTGCAAATATTCTCCATCATGGAAGTCAATTACACGTGATCTGGACCTGAGCTAGGTTTATGAGATGTGTCGACGACAAATACATATGAACGATTGAAATCAATATCCACACGTCAAAGGGCTCCAATTATTAGCAAAGAACATTGGATTCGTTTACGACAATTATTCGTAAATTTCCAACTTTCAAGGCTGATTCGCCGTAATTATATTTCTCAATTAATGCTAAGTTGAGGACTACTTTCGTAGATATGTTCGAAATAGTAGCCTCGCTACGCTAGAACTTCTGACAACCTCTCCTCTCCCAAGCTCATGACGAAACATTTCACCTATCAATAAACCACCCGAAACATCAAATTTCTACTGATACTTCGCGGCAAATTAATTACCAATGACGAAGATACACGCGTTACCAGTTTAAGTGGAGCACCATCGCCTTATCGCGAGGCTGTGGAGATTTAATGCAAAGGCATCTTTGGCTGGCGCAATATGTCATCGAGAGGTTCAATTGCTTCTTTAGTTGATACACAACAATCATGGCACCCAAATTTATCACCACGAGTGAACAGGAACTTAATCCCGAGAAGTGATCAGCTTGCGCGCCTAAACAGCAAAGATAATTTGCTCTACGACGCAAGCATGATTCAATCGGCTACTCTCCCATCAATTGACGACAAAGATGAACAGCAAAGAAAGCTTTTTAAGAAGCTTTACCTCATAACAGAATCTAAGATTGATGAACTTTTCGGGGGAGCTAGACAAGTCGAGAGAGACCTAAGCCCGAGTGATCAAATTCTAGCAAACCAAACAACAACAGGAATTGAAAATGACACAAAAAGCTCTAGAGAAGAACAGCCCAAGAAGTCACGCAGAGTTATCGACGAGGATAACTACGACGATGATGATGAGGAGGAGGAAGATGAAAGCATACAACACTGCTTGTCAAAAGATGAAAGCGCCAATGATGTTGATTCGTCTCTTAAGATGGGGCCTTCAGCTATATCTGGAGATCTTTCCAAGGTGATTAAACCTAGTAAAGAATTTGAGCAACCTAAGTCCTCGGAACATGTGCGCAAGCAATTAGAGCTCGAAAAAAAGGCTATTGAAGAGACTGCTAAGCGAAGCTTTCACACTCTCTTTTTTACGTTGGAGAATGACCGAATCGCTATGTTAGAGCAGCAGCAACTCGAGGAATCCGAGAAGCAAATTGACGCAGAAATGGACCACTCTAGTGCCTCTAACAACAATAATATAAATGGTGAGAATCATGGCTCTCTCAGTAATACCAACCTCGGCGCCTCAAGTCTTACCCTAAAGCACCTCATCGCTCGAATTGACCTCAAACGTGACCAAGTACGAGCTTCTGATGCTGAGTTACGATCCCTAATGAATGAGGTTCGGAAAAACAGGAGCAAATGGGCGAGTGAAGAAAATGTGCATCAAGAAGAGTTATATGAGGCTGCTGAAAAGGTGCTAAGTGAGCTCAAAGCGATGACAGAATATTCAGCTCCATTTTTGACAAGGGTCAACAAACGTGATGCTCCAGATTATTACAACAGTATTAACTCCATTCCGCTGATCAACTCAATACTAACAGAACTATAGTTGTTAAACAGCCCATGGACCTTGGTACAATGACTAAGAAGCTGAAGACCTTGACATACAAGTCTAAGGCTGAATTTGTAGCAGATCTTAATCTAATTTGGAATAACTGTTTAAAATATAATGCCGACGTCCAACACCCCTTGAGACGAAACGCAAATTCAATGAGAAAAGAAGCCGAAAAACTGGTCCCTCTTATTCCTGATTTAGTTATAAGGCCTAGGGCTGAAGTGGAAGCAGAGGAGCGCCGTAAGCAGAACGGTGGCGACGATGATATTATTGATGATAGTGATGATGAACCAATAATGTCTTCGCGTGGGCGGAAAGCTGGCACCAAAGGATCTAAATCTAGGAAGACCGCAAAGCAAGAAGAGAGTACTGAACAAAAACCTAATTTATACTTGAATGGTATACATAATAATCCAGACCTTGAAGGCTTTGATATGGCTTTAGAGGGGTGCCAGAATGGCCTTGCGACACCGCCTTTTAGATCCTTTACTCCATTAAATGGCACCCAAGCGCATGGAAATCAGTCAGATATTGTGGATAATGATGGCCCTCTAGCTAATGGACTACCAATTACAGCCACAGATGACCTGGAAGAAGATGAGGAATACAAAATTTGGAAACAAGTCACGAAAAAAGATCGAGCCCTTCTGGCTACAGAAAGAAATGCCCTATTTATGGGCGACAAACTTAATCCCGACAAGCCAGCTCTTCTCCGTACCAAAGCCGGAATGCGGAGATGGCTTCGGCAACGAACACAGGTACAACATGAAACAACATCGCAGCTAGGACTTGATTCAAAGGTGAAAAATAATGTACAGAGTATTGCGACTTTGGCTGAGGGTATGGAAGGTGATGAAGAGCGGGTTCTACCTGATTACTACGACTATTTGTCAGCAATCCCTGAAATACCAGCAAAACTTCAATGGCTAGAAGACTCTGATGGTCATCTAATTGATTGCTCAGAAGAATACATGCGTATGGTACCAAAATGCCACTTTACCTCTCCAAAAAGCTCTTTGACTATAAAATTTGATGCAAACATGAGACAGATCCAAGAAACAAGAAAAATATGCTCTAAAATTGGTGTTATCAAGCAGATGCAGTTACAGGCACAGGTATGGCTAGACATTCTCAAGAGTATAAGTGCTGACATCAATAGACTTACAATAACCAATTCCCTAGGTATGAGCCTGAGCCATTTATCGAAGCTGATATAGAACCACACGTTGTTTCAGATGATGGTCCTATTATGGCAACGTGGGTTTGCAAGGCAGCGATGCAACGGTCCGTGGCTAAGGTTTGTTATGCAGCTGGCTTTGAAGAACTTCAACCAAGTGCCTTAGATGTCATCACAGATATCGCCGGTGACTATTTCGGTAAACTCGCGCAAACATTCAGCTTATATCGTGAGGCTCCAAAAATACCTGCTGTTGGAGCTCTCGCCAATTCAGGGGCTAGGTTTCAAGAAAGGTTTACCGATGAAGAAGTTGTACTTCACACCTTAAGTGAGAATGGGCTAGAAATCGAAACACTAGAAAGCTATGTCAAAGATGATGTAGAACGTCTTGGAATAAAGCTTGGAGTCATGCATGAGCGTATGAGGGCACATCTCTCCGATTTACTCCGCCCAGTACTTACAGATGGAGGAGCTGATGGCTCTGGCGCATTTAAGGATGGTAGTGACCAGTTCATCGGTGGTGATTTTGCTGAAGAGCTGGGCGAAGACTTTTTTGGATTTAAAGCTCTAGGGTTGGACTCTGAATTTGGCATGTCAAGTCTCTCTGTGCCTTTGCATCTTCTCCATACACGTCTCTACAACAATCAACCAAGTCAGGTAGTACAAGGACCATCAACTGACATTTTGAAGTCACTTCCGCCTCTGAAACCGGTTACATTAGAGAGTATTAACGATCAAATCGGCTTGATACGGAATTTCTTTCTGGCTAAACTTCATGCAAATTCAGACCAGCCACTAATAGAAGACGAAGAACTTCCTCCTAAGCAGCGGCCATCACGACCACGTCTCGGACCTACCGGAAAAATTACTTGCCCCCGAAAAAGGCCACTTAAAGAAGTTAGTGGTAACTCTAAGAAAAAGAAGAGACTCGACAATGGCAATGCGGTTGATCCTTCAACTGGTTCCAAGACGAATATTAATGGAAGCCTTGAAAAAGGTATTTCAGCTGTTTCATCTTCTAAGATATCGAAGCTGTCACAATTGAATTCTGATTCGATCGCATCAGAACAACCGGAATGTAGTAGGGACAGCCAAGGCCAAGTCGAAAAAGATGATATAAGTGCAGTATGCATGATGAGTCCTGAAAGCATTGAACGCTAATTAAATTATAAAATTGACATCAATTATATGCTTAGGTCTGTATCTGCTGGATGAATACACGCAGATCAAAACTACGCTTATTTTTGCACAATTAGCCTAATATTTTATATATAGCTTGGTAACTTGGATTTGGTGGGATTTAAATCAGCAGGCTCTTTCAAAAAAAGGCCTTCACTGCCATTATGTACTATACGAGATGAGCTCTTTGCTCCATGGTACCTCATTTTGGCGTTGGGGTGGGAATCTGCAGCATATGAAGCAAGTGTTATCTGTTTGCATGGGCTTGAGGCTGGGTTCAAGGGATCTTTTAGGGGCTTGGGAGGCTTGAGTGATTGGTAGGTGGTTCTAGTGCTTGAAATGAGGGCACGCTTTTTCACCATTGTGCGCAGATAGAACTTAAAGAGTGTCTAAAAGCTTTGAAAGATGACAAGGTTCGTTGGATAGCAACGTATAATTCCAAAAAATAATGTTCACAAGTCTTTCCGATCATGCTAATCTGTGAAGCAACTCAAAAAAATTTCTATAATTGGCCACAATCATCATCAACCTGAAATCCAACAGGTATTTTTAGCTGAGTATAGTTCATCGACATCTAAAATTCGATAATATATTTGAGCAAGCTATCAAAACAGGGTGGCATAAGAGTTTCAGGATGGTCACGCAAATAACGTTGCCCGAGAGCCATTAAAGGAGCGAACTAGGTTACAACTTTTGATAAGGGAGCGGTTTAAAATACCATTGAAGCAGAAAGAAACCATTGAATATTTCTATGTTAAGAATTAATATCGGAAAGAGAGGCAACCAAAGCAATTATTAAGTGTGAGACTGGGGGCAATTATCAACAAGTGTCAGTGGTGTACCCTACGAACTATTGAAGGATGGTGATGTATATGGTCGTATACACTTGGTATCTTCAATTAAATTGTTGTTACAACTCAGGGGGCCCAGAATATACTTGGGTGATTATAGCAATAAATGTTACGGGATTCGAATGGTATCTTATTGTGTTTTTTATATTATGTTATGTTACACGTTGTTTACATGAGAATTAAGCAATCCCACATACTTACAGATAGCGCTGTTGCTAGTCTCTTTCAGGAGTGATCTACGGGTGGGTGTAGCGATCGGTGGTATCTAATTTATCACTAACCTGTTTCCATTTCCTTGGCTCTACATGACACAATACTTGAATAACAATTTAATACTAAAGTGAAAAGCGCATTCAGAACACTAACCTCCAATTCTGTTGAGTCTGCAAAGCTGAGATTGAATAACAAAGTCCTCACTTCGACAAGGATTCCCAATCGCTTTCGCCGTCTGTATCGTCTTCATCTCTCAACACATTCCCCTATCACCATTATCATGGAGCTAACCACGATCAGATCAGATGGTAGGGTCGGAGCCCTACTCATCACCAACCCTTGATCATCGAGGAGATGCCATCCGATGAGTTTCCGGAGCGTACTCAGCACCAGATACGGCGATGGTGGATTGAATCAAGTCGGCCTCGACTGTTACAAAGAAGGGAGATATAGATGGATATGCGCACCTCATTTGTTCCCGGTGTCTAGGCCTCGCCTGACTGGAGCTGCAGGTTTCTTGAGACTTTTTCCCGCGCACGCAGTTTCCATTGCTACCTTTTTTTTTGGGGGGGGGGGGGGGGTAGAAGGTTCCGTAGAAAAGGTGGCCGAATTCCACGAGTAAAGACTGAGCTGAATGGCTATTCATCAAGGGCAATATATCAATGATCTTTCAAGTAACAAAAGAGGATAGGAGCACTGTACAAGGTGTGGCCTGGGACAGAGAGGAGCCCAATGTGCTAGATAGTCATAGAGCCAAGTAGTACAATAAAACACACATACACACACAGCACAACTGAATAGGTTAAGGGATAAAGTTGTGCGGTGGAAAAATATCAAAAGAACAAGGATAACAACTATCTCGACGCAATACTTGATGATTTTTTATCAATGGTAAGGAAATTTTAAATGGTCAGCTCTTTGGACCGTGGTTTTTCTTATTTTTTTAATTGATAGTGTAATCAGCTGTAAAGCTGTGAAAAATATGGTTGCTTATCTTAAAAATACAAATATTATTACTCCATTTCCTACACCTATCCTCTAGTCTCCACTCATTCAGTCAGCCTTGGATGCTTTCTGACGACCCTTGTTTTCAAGGAAGAGGAGGGCTAGATCCGTTCCTGTTTTTCAATAGAACAACATCTATTTTCCCCAAGGCTCGATGCTTTTAAAAGCTTCATCTGAAGTGTCCCTATACAGAGAGTTTAGTGCTAACCAAAGATCTCTTTAGACCAACAAAATGACTAGTCACAGCTATTTCTACATTTTTTAGGCTAATTATCAAACTATTTTGCAACAGCGGAGACCATCACAATCTGATTTTAGTGTGCTCTTTTTCTAAATAACGGATTTTTTTATCTAGATAAGATAATTAAACAGGCAGAGAGATAATCGAGAATTTCTTAAGCAATGACTTTGTTTACGTTCATTGTTAATGTCGAAATCATGTTGTTAGTCCGGCATTAATCTAGAGCGTGATTTTTTTGGTCTTAATGACAGATTTAATGTTTGTAGAGGGTACCGTGTTCAGGTAGGAATTACGAGCTTACTCTCTCTCATTTAAGGATAATAACAGGCTAATGTTAAGATCTAGTGTGTTTTTTTTACTAACGTGCTGGGCAATTGGTACCCTCCGCATTCCTATGGGAGCTGAGCACCAGTGTGGATTAGTTGGATCAGGTTAACTACCATATAAGTATAATAAATCTCGTCCCACCTAAATAGACGAGACACCTCAGACTTTACTTATGTGTTGACTCATACAAAGTCCGACCGCATAGAAAGTCGCTGTATATACGCAGGAACGTAAATTCCCCCATTGGCTCCGAAACCAAACGCCCCAGCCATTGACATGCTCCTTGACTCTGAAGTATAGTTGTCGTCCCAGATATCATCATTGCTCTAAACCTTCACCTCCTCATCGTAATGTTGGGTTATTATTGTCATTGAGTATCTGAAATCCCTACCAATAGAGTGATACCCTTGGTATTTATTACATTTTAATTGCTTCTTCGCATAAATACCGTTTCCATCATGACTCTTCTCATTAGGACGTGCGTAGGAAGTTAGTTCGACAAATGTGTGGAAATGGGCCGCAAATGTAGGATCATCTGAGAACTGCTTAGTAGAATATTCATGATCAGTTTGAGAGATAATGGTTGTTCTGATACGACTTCCATATAGAGATAGGCCCATCCGTGAATCGTTAGTTAGAGGTGATGAGTTTTTGATGAATTTATTGAGGTTATAAAACTTATTTTAACGAATTTCTTGACTAAGATACCAGGTCGATTCTTTCAAGACAATAATATATCGAGTATGACACATCTCACTCTTGGTAATGACTGAATCTCGGCTCTGGGATAATATTTCACTCCCAGGTTCGTAGAGGACACCACTGACAGGTGTTCAGCTTCCGTCCTCCTAATTTGAGCAGAAGTAACAATACAGCGATTTAATACCATTCCTTATCTTTTATATTCATGGACTCAAATAGGACGTTAAAAAAATGCCATTCCTTAAATTTGTTAGTCAGTGGATTTCCCAATCGTTTAGTCCTACATTTGCTTAAGTTAATAGAATCATTCCCCCTGTGATCATCACGAGCCTCCTCGAGCATTTTATCAATTCCGCGATCCTTCAAAGCAACCTCGCAGAATCTTAGAAAGATTGTGAAAGGTTTTAAATCCTACTTACCGACAAGCAAGAATTGTATTCTTTAAAAAGTGTTATACAGTCGTCTTGAGTTCCATTTCCTCGTAAGTATTCTTAATGTTTGTCAGTCCTCATGCAAGGAAGAGGTTGATATCAACGGACTTTCGCTATACCATTTCAAAAAGCAAGTGTCATAGCGCCTATCCTTGGTTTGAGTATGTGCCTATGTCTCATTTGGATTCTTACTCTTTAGCCTTATTGCACTGGGGGGCTAGTGACGCCGACATCTCTGAAATGTTTGCTGATGTTGCGAGCTAATTCCAAAGTTTTAACCCTACGATGATAAACTCGCTAAACTTATTCCGTGCTAATAGAAAGTCAGTGGTACATACCGACGTAATAGAAATCAGGAATTCGCAACAAAAACCTCGATATGGACAGCCCTTTAGATGTGAAATCCACTCAGGATCAGATTTTACATGGTCTAGTTACAACAACCAAGATTGTCGGACACATTTCTGCAGAAGATATAACCTTCCAAAAGTCATTGAACCGAGATGTGGGAGATGCAATCGATGTGCAAAGTCAACGTCTACTTTCGCTTGCCAGCGCTTTGATTAGATCCGCTGCTTCAATATCGGAACTTAGAGTGCCAAATTTAGAAGATCCAGAAGATATTGAGAATAATTGGAGGGGTGTGATAGATGTCGTTGATTCTCTGCTAGAAAAATCTGATACTTGCCTCGATGAGTATACAGGCGTCATTAAGCGTAAGGATTCTAGTGATACAATCTTACAGAGTGAGGTAAGATGAACTTTTTTCAATTCCAAATCATAGATTCTAACAGAATTTAGCCACACTCAAAATTTAAAAAGCAAGGCACTTCACTCGGTCACAATTTTCGCGTCCAGAACCTTGTTAAGCCTCAACTCTCTTTCGAAATCAAGCCAAATAACCAAGATGAAAGTCCGTGGAAGCCTCTTCTGACAAAAAAACCTCATGCAATCGTACCTTTGGACGACAGTCTTGAAATATTCATTGATAATAATAAGCAAAAGCAGTACGTAGATATATCTTGTCTAAAAATCCTCTCGCGGAGTTTAAATATTAGGCCCATCAGTAAATATATTTATTGGCAGATGACAAGCATTCAAAATATCTGGCAAATGAAGACTTGGATATTATTGCCGCTCATCTGACTGACCCTCCCTAGATACAGACATCCGTATGAACAGGAGATATTACAGATGAAATACCCTGAATTTGTATACCGAAAAGAGAAACCTATTCCTTACCCACCTATTGATACTACACAAGCAACATTTGTAGACACTGAGCAAGGGGTGATAGAAATGCTAAAGGAATTAAAGCTCGCAAAAGAAATTGCTGTTGACATTGAGCATCATGACGCGAGGTCTTACGTTGGCCTGCTTTCTCTAATGCAAATTAGCACACGAGATAAAGATTGGGTCATTGATACATTAAAATCCTGGAGACATAACTTACAAGTTCTAAATGAGGTCTTTGCCGACCCTAAAATACTGAAGGTACCTATATCTTCAAGCTTCCCCGATGTTTCTGATCTTTTCAGGTATTTCATGGTGCCTTTATGGATATTGTCTGGCTCCAGCGTGATCTTGGTCTCTACATCGTTGGCTTGTTCGACACATATCGTGCATCTCAAACACTCGGCTATTCAGCCGGGAGTTTAGCTTTCCTACTCAAAAAGATTGTTAACTTCGATGCCGATAAAGTCTACCAAATGGCGGATTGGAGAATACGGTAACTACTCGACTAATCTTATTTGGAACAGGCTAACACTTCAGACCCCTTCCCGAAAAGATGATGTTTTACGCTAGAGCTGACACCCATTTCCTACTTTACATTTATGATATTATGCGAAACGAGCTTGTTGAGAAATCGGCCGGTGATACCGAGAGTGGAAATTCCATAGATATTGTCCTTGAAAAATCTAAAGAGACATCACTTTCACGCTACGAGCGACAGATTTACAACGAAGAAAATGGAAAAGGACCGGGTGGCTGGTACTCTATGCTTGTCAAAACACCAGCACTTCTTAATAACGAGCAATTTGCAGTTTTTAGAGCTGTTCACGCATGGCGAGACAAGCTCGCTCGAGCTGAAGACGATAGTCCTACTTATTTAATGCCTCAAAATATAGTTCTTAATTTGGCTAAACTTATGCCCACAGATATACTTGCTCTTACACGCGTCGCACGCCCAGTCGCTCATAGTGTCAAGTCACGAGCTCCCGAGCTACTCGAAGTGATCAAGTCCGCTAAACTGTTGGGAAAGTCCGGACCAAGCATGATGGATGCGTTACGCTCAAAAATAGACACTGGAAGCGATGCTATAAATCCTTTGTCGATTATTAAAGCTGATGATACCAAAGGTCTTATACCAAAAGTTGACGAAGGCGAGCTTCGAAGTCAATGTTCATCTTTCTGGGGATCTGCATTTGGTAGCAGCGTATGGGATGCTCCATATACAGCACACAAATCGAACCCTGATATATCGCTTTCATTACCTGTTATACCATTAGAACCGATCGATCGGATCCTATCAGATCAGGTGCAAGCTACTGTTAAGCAGTTGGATGATCCACACGTAACGAAACAAGAAGCCAACGATAATGAGTTTATTCTTAAGAAGAGTGCTAAGCGAAAGAGTGATATAGATCAAAATTCTTATCGTAGACTCAAGAAAAACTGTAGCGAATCTGATGTTATCAATGAAGTAACATGTTTTGAGAACAAGAAAGAAGTCCAAAACTTATCTAAGGTACAACTCTTAACTGAGAATAGTGATTCTACAGAAGAAGGTTCATTAGATCCTATCTCAAAGCCTTGCGAGACGCAGGGAAATGACCTTAACACAGCATCCCAATCAAAAAAACAGGCACCCTTCGATTATAGCAAAGCGGAATCAATATTACACGGCAAACAACGAGAAATGAGGAAGCCAACATCAAAAACATCCGGTCATTTTGATCCCTACGCTAAAGTTCTTAACGCGCCGACTGGAAAGCGGCGCATTAAGAATGATCGTCCGGGTAAGAGTCATACGTTCAGGAATTGAATAATTTCCTGGCGTATTATCTTAGACTCGGAGACAACTTCATCACATAGTTCAATTTGTCTTTTACTTGGATTGTGCGTCAATAGTGACTATGTTTCAATTGTACCGACTTTATGTCAAAAGCCTGACTGCCTGAACTATAAATAAAATCCCTCATCAGCTTTATTTAACTGGAATCATACAGCTAGAGCTTCACCACGTTGGGTGACATGTTTCAGCTCAGAAACCAACAAAACCCATCTCGACTTGAAGAAATCAATATTTATCCCTTTCTAAAAAATAAGCCAAATAAGGAGACATATCATAAACCAGACAAACTTTAAAGAGATATCAAGTCTAATTATCACTTGAAAATGTTTTCACACACAGCTTCTGAAGGTATTAATGATAATTAACGGCACATAAATTTTTTATTTCTAGAGCAAGCAAATAATTTTGTGCCTTCTCAAGCTGTAATTACTCAATCGACATTATGTTATGTTTGGAAATTTGTACAAGATTAAAAGCTATTTCAACGATTGTACTAGAAGATTTCATGACAGCCGATAGACATGAGCTTACGAAGACTTATGGCACTTAGTACCTATAGTCCAATTATAAAGCGGATATAGTAATCGAAATTAAGACAAGTATCTTGCCAATATGCAAATCTTCAAGCAAGCATAACACTAGTTAATTGCACTGGTCAAGACGTAGGTTAAGGGAATTATTTCAGTCAAATTTTTAGATCCACTAGTTGGACCTCCTCGAATCTTCAGAATACCCAGTAATGGTTTCAACATAGCAACAATCAAGTTCACGTCGAAGGTTAACAAGAATATGTACCAAAAATTTTCATTCTTTATAGACGTCTCAAAAGGAATAGAGCTTCTACTTAGCAGACTATTGTTTACGGTGTATTATAGATGTGAGCAGATAAACAAGGATTACAAATGACAATGCTTAGCTAGAATTAATACAGGGTAATAGCTTCAGAGCCAGTCTTAAGTTTTAGCTGCTCACTAACTTGTACTCAAATGCTCGAAATGTTACGATTAGACATTGCTCCATGGAAAATGATTTCTCAACCCCCCAATCATCATCCTCAAAGTCCACAAAATTTTTTCCATAAACCAGTATCTTAGTAAAATTGAACTTCCTATGTCATTCCGGATGATAAGGGACAAAATGATAAAGTATTGTACAGCAATTTAGTGGGCCCATTGGTAGCCAAGATTGATAGCCAAGTATGTCTTTCGTTTTTTGTACAACTTTAGTTTGTGACTATTTAGCACACTAAGCTTTTCTCTGTCCCGGGCCTTAAGTCCCTCCGTTTCTTATACATTATTTAGTGGATCCGGCCTATACTAGCTATGCCACACTCGAACGCCCGTTCAAAAAAGATATTAACCACCAAAGTGTTCTCCCAATTTGACGTGCTATTCCTTTGACGCATAGCATCTTCTCTCACCCTCCACCCCGCAAGGTGAGCTTGACACTTGGATTTTAGCTCCCACAGAAGCTGCTCTCCTTCATCCTGCACTTCTGTACTACTACGCCATAAGTTTTCGTATTTATGCAAGAAAGGTACCTTCAACTTCCCTTCCACTCCATCCTTATTGTCAATTTCAGTCCATTCAATATCGTCGAATCACTGTGTTATATTTTAATCTCTATCTTTTTCAGAAACTCTTCTACCTACTTCTGTTTCCCCCAAGAACTCTAGAAGTTCAGCTGTTGCCCTTCTATCTGCAAAGATTCGAGCTTTGCTCCTTACATTAATAGCTGAGTCCTTGTCCTCTCATATCTGTTTCCACATCTAATTTCGCTCCTTCCTCCCGTTTCGGCAGTTTAGCACTAGTTGCTCTACTGTAAGTCTCTATCTCCGGTCGCAACAGTCGCACATCTAGTCGTCTCTTTCAATCACACGATTAAGATACGAAGCCGTAATGGCATGGTTTGATTTAATGTAAAGTACTGACAGGCCAGGCCTTTACGGGGCTTTAAACAGTCTAGATAGGCGAAACTTAACTGAAATACAGCTCATAAGTTTTCCCCGATGCTTGAGTTCTTCGATGATGTTCTACTGTAAACTGTCACGAGAAGCTTTATTAGCTGGGATTGACGAGGTCTAATCTTGTTGAATGAAATTGTCTACGAAGAAGGAAAGGATATCTAAGTATCTACAAAGTATATGTTTACAGAGGGTCGCTGTTTAGATGAAGCGAGTTCATGTGACTTATGTGAATCGTCCGTTTCCTGACATAAGGTTCCCCTTTACTCCTTATCTTTATATCTCTTTGGAAAAACCAATCTTGCGCAGGCTGTCGCTTGTCTTTTAGCTGTATCAATTTTATGTTTACTGGGTATGAGTTTATTTCGAAAACGTCGTTCGAATTCTTTAATCGCAGAAATAGCATTAGCCACGTTCTTAAGGGGTTCCCACGTTTTGTCTTCAGCGTCATAACCTCCCCATAATATTAAATACTGGAAGCTCTTTTTGTTTTTGCTTCTTTTTGAGTCCAGTATAGCTTCAATGGCATATAGCTTTTCGCCTGACTTGTCAAGTGAAATAGGGGATGGTTGTGGGTTAATCTGGCCAGGTACAGGGTCTGAAGGTGCGGGCCTTAATAAGCTGGTATGAAAGACTCTGTAGAGGTTTTGGTATTCAAATAGTAGGTTTAATTGATATGCGTGAGAGTTTTTTTGTTTCGTAACTTTAAATGGCCCGATAAATTTGCAATCCAATTTCTTAATTGGTCGAGATGTATATATATTTCGTGAGTCGAGAAATACCTCATCTCCGACACGATATGCTGGTGCCAGCGACCTATTCCTGTTTGCAGCATATTCCTATTTATCTTTAGCGTAATTTAAGTTGGTGCGTAATACATCAAGGACTTCGGACATCTTGGAGGCGAAATCGTTTCCAGCAGTGATCTGTTGGCGGAGATTCTTTGACGAGACTCGTTCGACTGATCTTGGGGGTCCAAAACTAAAGCGTGGGTGAAACCCTTTATTTGCAAAAAAGGGCGTGACTTTAGTGGAAGCGTTGACTGAGTTATTTGCGGAGAATTCAGCCATTGGAAGCCATTCATAGACATATTCTTGTGAGTAATCAATGTACTGGCGGAGGTATTGTTCCATAAAAGCGTTTGCATTCTCTATCTGACCGTCCGTCTCAGGATGATAGGCTGTGGAGAGCGAAATTTTAATCTGTAAGTAGTGACAGATAGCTTTCCAAAATTCTGCAACAAAGAGAGGTCCTCTATCAGAAATCATAGAGTCACAAAGTCCATGAAGCCGCCAGATATCGCGGATGAATATTTTTGCCAACTCTTTAGCAGTCATCTTTGTGTGACATTGAGAGTAATGGCGTTCTTTGGTTAGGCAATCTTTGACGACCCTAATGCAATTGAAATTATTGAATTCTGCTGAAGGGCCAACAAAATCGATTGAAATATCGCGCCAGCGTTGGACTGGGAGTAGAATGGGCTTTAAAGTACCCTGGTATCAGAGTCGGAAGACTTTGTTTCTAATGCAATTATGACAATTTTTAATGAACATGTCTGTATGCTGAGAAAGTCGGGGCCACCAGTAGTAGTCCGAGAATGCCTGGTACAAACCAGTCTTTCCTGGATGACCCTTCTCACAGCTATCATGAGCTGTTTGTAAAAGCAGAAGTCTCAGCTCGTTATCTGGAACGTAAATTTTACCGGGAAAATGAAGGCGCCCATCTCGTAACTCGCACTCTGAAAGGGATACCTCTTTTGAATGTGGTGTTCCATGTGGCTTTTTCATTTCCGCAACTATTTTAGTGAGCCATTTACCCGTATTTGCGCTGTATTCTTGATCAAGTGAACGGCTTATTTTCTGATCTAGAGGCTCCTGAGTAGGGTCTATGAGAATAGCAGGAGAAAGATGGGGGACAACTTTGTGACGCCCCAACATTTTAGTGGCCACGTGGTCTTCGGTCCGGAGTATCATCGTGAGATGAACCTATATCATCTGCGCTACCGTGACTATCGTTGGATTCCAGGAACCTGTTTCTACGCCTGGCCGGCACTGTGTAGATGAAATTTCTATCTTCTTCGGGTGATTTCTTTACCTTTTGATGCGGTAAAACTTCAGGAATAATCGAAACGGAAGGATGGTAATCAGGTTGTTTGCCTTTGTCTTTTTGCGTATGTGTGATATTCGAGGCTGACAAATTAGCAATAAGCTCATCCTGGACAGTTATCTTTCGAGATTGTTCGGATAACTGAAGCTGTATTCGGAGTATGTTGGCTTTGTCCTCATTGCTTGTTTGTTGGAGGAGAGGTGGGGGAGATAGCTGTAAATCATCACGAAGATTTGGGTACAGGGGACTTATCGGTGAACGGCGGAGAGCAGATGCACGGGTTGGAATAGCTGTAGATGGCCCAGGAGAGCCTGCTCTACAATGGACGAAGTCGACTGACGAGGTTCGTTTATTCTTTGATTTTTGGCGTTGGTCAATGTTATTCCATTTATTATTACCATCTTTATTGGAATGTTTGCCGGGTGGTGTGTGCATCATTGCGTAAGATATATTATACAGAAGGCGATACAAAACAATTAGTGAGACGAGAGTTATAGGTGAAGCTTAGAGTCAGCAAGGTTCACCGACGAAGCTATCAATCAGTAGGCTCGTATATAAAAACTTATTGAGGGATATTGTTTAGACCTTCCCAGGTCTTTGGAGAGAGAGAGAGTTTAGAATAATGTGGAAACTCGAGGGACAAAAGACGATTGGCGAGTGGTCAAAAGCTGGCGTGGACTCAAATCATAAGATTCTAGACTAAAGAGAAAAGTATCTAGGAGGATATGAATCTGTATATATTTACATAAGAGTTCAACTGTTGAAATAGAGTTGCCAACACGAAACCTCCTGTCCCTCATTGCCTACAACCCAAGGTTTTGGCATGAAAACCAATATCCATGACAAACCTTTCGTATCGTGATTTGTCACACACAAGACTCGTGCGTGTGAAACTAGTCGTTGGAATTCCTGGATTGACCCCGTGTCGGCTTACCGACCATGGGACCGAAGACCACGTGGCCACTAAAATGTCGGGGCGTCACAATCTTCATTTTGAATTGCTTGCTTATTACTTGTATTTTTTAAATCTTGTATGACAGATTCATGAAGCTTGTTAGTTGGTAGGAGGATCTAGTTCTGGAAAGTTAATCGAGGATCGGAGTCATCCAATGGGAGGTCTCGAGGACGTCGTGTAAGGGCATCAGGCTTGGTGTTGTCTTTACCAAGTCGTGATTTA